TGCAGGGCACTTGTCGATTTGTCGTGGAACGCCCCAGTGGAAGACAAGCCGTTGTCGCCGTTACATTCGTTTCTCACATCAGACCACTCCGGGTGTAAAGTTTGGGCACCCAGAATCCAACTTGATCGACTTAGTCACCTGACCTGGTCCGGCCGAAGGGGCCCGTTACCCTGAACAGGGCGTGGACTACCAACAGGTCCGGTTGGGTCGCGTGTTCGCCCGGTCGCGGTCGCGTGCTCTCCCGCCGGGGTCGCGTGCCCCGGCCGACCCCGAGTCGGCGACAGCCGGTGTCGGCACAGGAAGGCCGCGGCGACCTTCAGTTTTTGCCACATCGCCTGCCGGCTGACTCATGACACCGGGCAGTCATAAATCACGGAGACCGGCGCCGGTCTGATCAGCTGTTGAGCCGCCACCGATGACCGGCACAGACTGGGTGGTGGTGGAGCGGCAAAACGACCACAGGCTGGGTGGTGGAGCGGCGGAGCGACCACAGACTGGGTGGTGGGGAGCGGCGAAACGACGGGTGAGACCCGACTGGGCGGCACCAAGGTCTCAACGGGGTGGGGAATTTATGAGAGACACGTCAAAAAAGTGGTGGGAGTGTGTGGGGCGACCTCGGATGGAGGTCATCTGGCTATTGGAATTCGCAATAAGTCACAAAAAAAATGTTTGATAAGCTGAAAACTACCGGTTCCACAAACTGCGTCTTCTTCGGCCATGAAACTATATAACACTCAGCCCACCTGCATCAGTGGGTCATCTCAGCAATTCGCAGAGCTGACGCCGGCAAAATATAAAGGACCAGAAGCCTCCGGCAATACCCGTCCGTCGAATGGAAGCAGTCCGCCAGACTGTCGGACTGTCGGACCGTCGGACTGTCGGACGGGCCGGGTCGCTGGGTCCGGCCCGGAGCGCGGTACCGCCCGTCTGCAGCCGGCAATTGGTGCAGAGTCGGGCGGCGGCGCCTGCTTCTCTCCCCTCAGCCCGGCCCGCCGCGCCGGGGGCGGTTACAGCGCCCAGCCGCGGTCGGTAACCACCGGCCACGGGTGTGCAGAATACCACCGGGGTCTGTCGGTATGTATCAGACCTACACCGAACGGTGAGCGGTAAGACGGCCATCCCGTCCCAGTCGGGACTCCGCCGGCCGTCGGAGGTATCAGAGCTCTCCACGGGAGGGTCGGAGCCCGTCAGGTACCGAGACCGATCGGCCGGGCCCCGGCAGTGCGGAGACCGGCGCGGCGGACCGCGCAGAACCGTGAGCCGACCGCGCACCAAGCTGATCCTACCGGCGACCGCCACCGGCGGGGCTTCACAAATCACTACCGCGGCAGTGGCGGCCTTCGCCTCGCCCGACCGCAGTCCAAGAGCGGAAGGAACATCGCACGAATACTGCTAGACGTATTTAAAACGCTCGGCATTCTGTATGTCGGTCTGCAGCCGACGTCTCTGCGCACCACACTCCATCCGTGTCACCGGTCAATGGCCTATTGACCTTTCTGGGCGCGGAATTCAGCCGGCATTGCATCACCGATTGCTGATGATCTACAGACCCCCGACCCGTGGGTGGCTCGGAGAAGTGACCGCAGCCTCAGCTGCATGACTCGGCTTTGCAGCACCTGGGCATCATTGGAGTAAACGCGTTTGAGCGACACATTTTAGCGATCGTCCATTTAAACAATTGACTTTCGAGCGATTGTCAATTCATCAAATTCAAGTAAAGCTATTTATTACAGCGATTATAAATCGCTGAAATGCCACTCGCTCGCACCAGCATACTCGTAACCCAGCTTAAAGACCGAGTCTCAAGCCGAACTAACACACATTCCTCGCAGAAGCTGTGTCGACCGCAGAAGGCAGTGGCGCAGCAGCTTCTACATGTCTGGCGTAGAGTGCCGCTCATGTGCCGACGCCCCACCTCGTCTCGAGCCGGCGCTATCTGAAGCTGTGTCAGCGCTGGGCGGGGCGGGCAGACCGGCAGGGGGCCCACAGGCCCTGATAGACCGATACAGGGCCGACGCAGCGGCTAGGGCGGCTCACGGCACACCGTCATCACACGGCGGCGAAGGATTGCTCGTCGAGATGGTCCCAGTCAATAAGGGGGAGGACTAGCGGCATGGGCACGGAAAGACCTCAATGCATGGCCCTGGCTGTACAGATTTAGCACAACCCACGACTCGAGGTCCTGACTGGGAGTTCCAGGAGGCACTTCATAACCCAATCGAGGTTTATTAGCCCCATATCCATAGGCAATAAAATAGCCTATGATGAATCGTCGATGTAATCCTATTTCACGGTTTAATCTGAAACTGACTGACCGGAAAGCATGACTAAACTGACAGGACATTGGCTCAGAGAGGTTAAGCCCTCGACACCTAGCCGGAATCCCCACCACTCTAACGGCGAGCTCAGAGCCGCGGTCGGTCCGTTCTCAACACGCCCTGGGGCGGACCCAGGAACTGCGCCACAATCTGTAACACCGCGCCGGACAATAGACCGCAGCTCCAGCGGTGACGGTGGGGCGGCATCCGAACCGCTACCGCACCGGCCGCCGATACGTGCCGCGCGGCCTCTGACCCTGTGACCGAGCGGGCCGGGCGGCATCCCACGCGCGCCTCCGCTGCCGAGTGGGTGAGGGAGGGAGGGGAGGGGAGGGGGACGATAGTCAAACACGCACACCAGCGCGCATGTAAGGCGGTCATCAGCGATTGTCCTCCCGCGGTGGCGGCGGCGGCTCGAGTGGCTGGCAAACAGCGCGGCTGCCGCCGGCCGGCGAATGACCTTCGAAGGTGGCGGCGCGGCAGCCGGCGCCGTCGGCCGAGCGGAACCCAGCCGGCGCGGCGGTCGGTCGGTCCGCCGCCGAGCGCACTCCCACGCCGGCAGGAGCCGAGCGGCGGCCGGCGGGAGACGGACCAGCCCGCTACCGAGCCCGTGGTGGGCGGAGACACTACTGGCTTCTTGGGAGAGGGGCAGAGTGAGCCGTGCAGTATAGATGTCATCGGTTCCGTTGCAAAGACTCGCGATGGAGACGACCTATGCAGAGAGAGGGAGAAATGCTCCCGGCTGAGTAGGTGGAGAGAGAGGCAGCCTGCCCCACGAGTTGAAGGAAAAATGCCACCGGTCCAGTGATGACGGGTTAAGGGGAACCCTTACAGCTTCTTGTTAGCTCTGAGCGCCGATTATTGGGTAAATTTATGCGTGACCGTCTAAGACAGGAACCATGCACTAGCCACCCATAGCTCACAGTTTTCCAGGAGCGGGACAAATAAATTGAAGACACTACGGAAGCACAGTTCACTGCGTGAATACCAATTTCCAGCGACAAAATGTGAGGTCACCGCCAGTTTCTCACGCCTAGCGGTAGCCTCCGGGAAGGCGGCGCGGCGATTCTCCCAGGATAAATCCAATGATACCGTACGACGGGACAGACGAATCCTCCTGAATGGCACCTCTATGTAATCAGTGCCGCCCAGCGGACCCGGGACGCGTGCTCCTGCGCACGCACCGGAAAACATAAGCAGCAATTCACGCACTACAAATATTGAAAAGATGCGGTCCATCAAGTTTGTCCCAGCCACAGTGTGCCAAGACTGAGGACAGGAGATGAGAAGAGATACACCAGTGATTATGAATTCGACCTGAATTATTGGGTAGGTACTTGGAAACTAGTATGAGTAATCATGAGTTTGTTTCAGACACCCATGGATTCTCTCATGTGAATCGTCGGTAAAACCCAACGTCATGCATCTCATTCTCCTGCCAGGAACTAGGTGCCTCGGTGAAACTAGGGGCGGACACTGGATATAGTGTCAGTAGAAAAAGGTGATAGAATTTAGCATCAGATAGAGATAGAGTTTTTAGATTTAGATAAAGTTTTAGCATCAGAAGGCATGAATATTCACAGACGTCAGACCCATCCTTGAATTAGACCAGACCCTCATGGACAGGTAGTTGGCTGAGTCCGATCATTGCCACGACCCTACCCAGCCGGTGAGCGCTGTATGACCGACGCCGGCTGCCGCGGGACGGCCGCTGACAAGTGATGTCAATGTATCACTGTCCGGTACTCTGAACTCTCACCCCATCCCATCCCGCGCCCACAGGACAGACTCCTATCTGCTCCAGATCATGGCTGGCTCGGCCGGCAGATCCGCGCCGCGCCGTGATCTCAGTTGGCCGAGTTTCCGCCGGCGCGGTCCGGTCGCAGAGACGCCCTATCTGCGCCCGTGATAGCGGCCCGGTGCGCCCGTCCCGAGCCGGTCGGCGGCCACGTCAGAGCCGTCAGCTCCGGGTCACGATGACAGGTCGGTCGGTCCGCGGTGTGCCGCCTACACAATCGCTGACAGGAATGTGCACGCAGGAATGTGAGGCTATGAGGAGCGGCCGTAAACGTACCGCGACCGGCGGCTATCGGAGAGCGAGATACGCACGGGACGGAAGCAATGAGGACGGAGCATCGAGGAGGACTTTCCGCACACCGGGGGGGGGGGGGGGGGGTCGCTCTGTGGGAGATGAACCCGAACCTTACCAAGTAACTATGGATCGTGTCATAAATGAAAAACTAGCTTCATAAAACATGCCGGATATTTCATGCGGTAGCACAACCGTGGAGTGACGGGGGACTTGGAAAACAACATTTTGCGTGACCAGAATCTTAATCGATCAAGGTCAACTTTTGGCATATAATAGGCGGCAGTAGCCGAAACGGGGTCTCACATGTCACCGTAAACTGCCAGCATTCCCGACTCCGGAGTCCAGTGTCTTTTTAACGGAAGGCATGGCGAGTAGGCGAAGACAACGCATCTCACGCGCTCGTCAATCGTCAACGAATGGTTACTGATAGCATGCCTGTACTGTTCTACCCAGTACTGTTCTATAGAACTATAAATCAGCTCTTGTCATCCAACAACACGTCAATTGATACTTACCCAACCCACACTCTACCCAACTTAGTGACAACACTACCTCCACTCCCGCCCGACCTCTCGGATCCGGGCACCCACCTTGTGGAAGTTCTCCTTCTGCCACTGGCGGACGCGCGCGTGCACCTCGTTCATCAGGTTGTCGCGCACCTTGAGGTGCAGCTCGCAGCGCTGTTCGGCCTCGACCAGCGAGCCCTTCCACGCGGCCTCGGTGGTGCCGTATTCCGGACCTGGCCGATGGGCGGATGGTGTAGTTATGTGTGCACGGGATCCCTGATTCAGTTACAGTGGCCGATAAGGTCAGACATGGCACGGGAGAAAATACGTTTTAGCAATAAATAATTAAGTTATTTTTTTAATTGCTAAAAAACGTGCAGGATACAGCATGGTAGGCAAGAGTTTCACCCTTTTCTGTTTAGAAGAACCCTCTCCAGCCCTGAGACCTTGTGCCGTATTTCCTAGAGACACTTGCATGGCTATGGCTTTAAAAGTTGTTTCAAGTTCTCACCTTTCTCAATAAGGTCATTCCACTTCTTGCTCCAGGACTTGAGGCTCTTGGCATATCCTTTCTCGATCTCAGCACGCTCCTGGACCAGCTTCATGAGGTCATCACAGAGCTTGAAGCCATCCTCAGTGCGTTTGGTGGTGCGTTTGTAGTTGCCCGGCTCCCAGAACGAGTCCGAGGTGGGCGCCAGAGCATTCTCATCACTGTGCATCGACATGGTGGCAGGACAACCTCTGACCAGTGGCAACTCCCAACAGCTCCCTCAGGGTAAGGAGAATCTCCAAATCTTAATAGGTACCTGGGTCACCGACCAGGTACGTCTCGCCTGCGAAAGAAAACACATCAATCAAGCAAAGAGAAGAATGGTGTAGGTTGAGGTATCCAGAGGAGGCTGACATGGGTTCATACTTCATGGAATGTGTTTATAAATTCAGCAAGTGCTGATTTTTTTTTGTATAAATTATATCTTGCTTGGTGCTGGCCGCTGGGTGGTGTGAAGTTCCAGCCAGGTTGATATGGGATGGTGCAAATTTGTAAACCTAGATCAGCCCCAGATGATGAGGCTTGTTGCTTTTGTTGGCAGCTACCACCATTTGACTTTGAAGCATCTGTCACAATTCAAATTTTATATGGCATTTAATTTTAAGACACAGCCATACCACGAACAAGAGTAAGCAATTGATATAGTGGCTGCAATCGATATAACATTAAATGGACAAAAATTCAAGCTTTGTGACATACCTCAGTGCAGTGAATTCCAAGACAAATTTGAATTCAAAATGAAGTTCGACGGCCGGTCAACAGGTTGGAGTAAAACTTGACGAACTTTGCTCCTATATGAAAAAGATGTTTCCGATAAAATAAACACAAGTGTATCAATCAAGATCAAATTGACATAAAATAATTTGCCTCATCAATCTGTTCGCAAACCATTCCACTTTTCGCGAATCAAGGCACAGAGAGCACGGCGCGCACACTACACCTCCGCGGACCTCAAATGTCAACTGACAACGCGTCAAGTATTCCAAGGTCATTGGAACGAGAAGTATATAAATTCAGTACAAATGACGTCAGCTGTTTAAAACAGCATTTGAACTACTCTTCATTCGTTATTTTCGGTTGTAGCTAACAATTTTTGACGAAAATATATTTTGAAAACAAATGTGAATGTTTGACCGCATGATCAAAAAGATATACTGAGAAGAAATATAACTTGCTTTATGCCAGCTTTATGCTAAGGAGAGAAAGCAGACCACAAAATTATATTATTGAGCTGTAACTTTAATTTCTGTCCACCACAGGTCAATAACGAGTAGGTGCAAGGTTTTATACTTTCAAAAACAAAACATAGAGTATTAAAACATAAAATCAAATAATACCATATTTTTTAAAGTCTCAATATATGTGCACTTTTCAGGCATGCACATGCACGGACCAGCAGTGCAAATATCAGGATTTGGGATGGAATATTGATCAAACGGCTCAAGCCCATGCATATGATGCAAGGCACTAGGCGGTCTAGGCAGTCCGGCCGAACGGAACGGCAGGTTATGTTGGAAGCGAGAAAATTCCTCGTAGACGAAGCCATCCATTGTCGCTGGTCGTTCTCTGTCATTTCCGTCGATCAATTTCTGTGAGGTGAAGCCCGCACCGAACATTTTGATCGTTGCTCTGCAGCTGAGCCTCAACTTCATCACACCTGATCGAATAATGGAAATATTAAGAGAACTGGATCTCTACAAACCATCAAACCCGAAGCTCGTGTTCGGATCGACGCAGGAGCGAAAACTGCTCCCCACGCTGCCCTCCGCGGCGCCGGCATCTCGTCTCGGCCTGCTCCTCCACCGGGACAGTTGGCCTCAGCTCGGACCGGGACGATATGTGACCGAGCAGCGAACCAGCTTCACCCACCAGCTGGACCGGAGGCCCCGCAGCCGACGCGGCGTCATGTTCGGCGCCAGCACGGAGCCGCGACTGCTGAAGGCCGAGAGACGGCGGGCACCGTCCCCGGGTCGGTACCAGGCCGATCTCTGGGCTAACCTGAGGCCAGTGCAGCCTCCTCGCGCCCACTCAGCCCCACCCAGCGTCAGAATGGCACCGTTCGGTCGAGCGTCCGATAGGTTCCACGAGCCGCGGCGTGCCAAGGACCCGTGCACTCCAGGGGTCGGCACATACCACCCGGAGGGGTGCATTATAAGACGGGAGCTGCGCAAGCAGCACAGCTTTGGCGGGAAGATCGAGGTGGTGCCATCTGTGATCGTGAAATGTGTCGTCAATAACTCCGACGTTTGTAACGGCTGCGGCGAGAGGCCGTATGGTGACTACTATGAGAACGGTAGGGACCACCTGTGTCGAGCGTGCTACCAGCGTATCCGCCACGCGTCTCCCCGCGCAGCAGCGGAGGTCTACAGCCGGCAGCAGCTGGCCGCCTTCCGGAAGGTCCGAGACTGCAGTGAGATCCACCGGCACGAGAACACGGACGCCGCGCTGCAGCTGAAGACGCCCCGCGAGATCAACAGACTTCGCAACAGGGAGGCCTACTTGAGCCTGTACTTTTGAGTGTGGGGTCGTGCCTGGACTAGTATTTGAACGTAGACTACTCTTGGTCCGGTCTAGGCAGGTGCGAAGCAGCTCACAGAGCAGTCACAGCGGCTTGTCTGACGCAACAACGGCGAGCAATGCCCACACTGAGTGTGAGTCTGTGCAGATTACATTATGTGCTAACTGCCATACGCTACACGCAGTGTCTATCTGTGCACATTCGGTGGCACGCACGATCTAGTGTGCCGATTTGTTTACCCACTGTTACACCAACTGGTAACCGTTCAAAGGCGATCTAAAAAGTATGAATGAGTGTATGTTCTACGGCTCACGAGATAAAATGCACAGAAATCGTCGTGTCTGCTGTGTTTTATCACAAAAACGCACGTTAATCACTATTGGTAGTGTTGTATTGATTATTTAATTCAATTTCATTTGGTCCATTACATTTACTCATTGCGTCGAATTGGCATGTAGTTCATTCTAACGAAACAAAAGCGAACACACACCGTCCTCGGGTATCACAAAAAGTGGCATTCTGTGCAGAAAAAAGACAATACAATCAGCAGCAATCAATCCTTCAATTCATCGTTCGCTATCACTATCGCTAACGCAAGAGTTCAATTCAGCCCAGGCCCCGCTCGGAGCCGGGCGCACTATACGCTACACGGCGGCCGGCCATGGCGCCACCAGCTACTACCTACAGTCGGCAGTGGGTCAGATGGGAGAGATTCGGGCTGCAAACGCCCCACATCAGTCAGGTGGGCACGGGCGCACCGCCCTAAGAACCGAAACACATCACAAAGGGGTCAACGGTGGCAAAGATCATCGTGACTCATCACAGCGACCACATGAACTCACACACTCACGCACGGACTATCAGGTCAAACGCTCGGCGCATCGCACCTGCCACGCAGGTACGTCGAGGGGTCACTTCCAAAACACGGACAGCAGGAGTGGGACGAAGCGGCGCCGGCGTCCCCAGCGTCGTCTCACGTGTCCGACGCCACACACTCACCAACACGTCTCAGAGCCACAGCCCGCCCGGGCGCTCACCAGAGGGCATTCACGTCACGCAGGATCTTCACCTCGCCCTTACGCTTTGTAACCGACAGCGCCTTCTTGATGGCGGTCCAGTCCTCGAGCACGTCGTTGTCGGAGAGCATGTAGACGATGTAGGGGCCGGTGACGGTGACGGGCCGCTTCTTTCGGCTGCCGTCCTCGGTCTGGCTGGCGCGCCGACCGCGCCGGCCGGTCCGCTCCTCCTGCCACAGGTCGGACGTGATGTCCACGTGGCGGCGGTCCTCCTCCAGGCGACGCGCGCGCTCCTCCAGGTCCTGGCGCACCTGGTCATACAGCATGCTCTTGCTGGAGCGCCAGTTCTGCTCGGCGGCCAGCATCTCAGAGTCGTAGCGGTGCTGCGCGTTGGCCAGCCGGTAGCACTTGAGGCGGAGCGCCACCTCCTGGCGCGTGCGGTGCGCCTCCTCCAGCTGCCGGAGCGGAGTGAGGAACTCGGGCGCGGTGCCGGCGCGCACTGCCGCCAGCCGGTCGTCCAGCAGCGCCAGCTTCTCAGAGAACAGCTGCTCCTTGAGCACGGCGAACTGCTGCTCCAGCTCACAGAGGTGGTCCAGACACTCGTTCTTGCGGACGAGGCACTGGTCGAGGTCGAGGTCGGACGTGTCCGTGTCGGAGCCGTGCGACGACCCCGAGTCACTGGCGCTGCTCTCGTCCTGCTCCATCTCACCGTCCGACTCCTCCTTGTTGGTCGGCATTGCGGCAGCAGAAACTGTGTAACACAAGAAACATCGAGTTCACATTGGGGCAATGTCCCCATTCCAATGGGCAGAGGAAGACTTTAAACAGAGTGGGAGAAGAAACACATCTAGTGTCATGCATGAACTATTGATTTTAATACATTTTTTCAAGCGACCAGTAGTTCGTATGAGGCCCGAATTCCACAGCTATCAGACCGACCGCCGTTCGCTGTCAGAACGACAGTCGTCCACTGTGAGATCAACAGCTGTCAGCTGTCATGACAATAGTTGTTGTCCACTGTAAGTGACAGTTTTCCGTTATCACCGACAGTCGTCCCCCGTCAGACTGACAGTCCTCCGCTGTCGGACAAACAGGTTCCGCTTTCAAAACAACGTTATCACCTGTCCATTATCACCAACAGTCATCCACTGTCAGATCGACAGTGGTCCGTTGTCAGAACAACCCAATGGCCAGCTGTCAAATTCAGCTCGCTCCCAGTGTGGATTAGGATTTTCAACACATCCAAACCACTGGATGCTGGAGCCCTTATCTTGATATCATAATACATGCTGACTTTACAAAACAAAACTTCAATCATTAATATACTTAAATTAGCTTAAATACAAATTTAGCTGCAATGTTGAAATAAACTGACAGAACCTGAGACAACACTAGACAGAGACTGGAGCACGCGAGTCGTTGCAGGCAGTTAGTTTCAAGAAGCCAGTGTCGTGTCTGGATTCGTTTATTTGGCTGCTAGGAGAGTGGTGGTCGCCGCCACCTTGCAAGTGGTGTTGTGCAAGTGGATTCACCTCATCGAGGTCTGCTTCCCTGCTCTGCAATCTGCATGCTGCTCTCACCTGGATGAGGGAGTACTTACTGCCAGTTGCATGCTTTTGTCTTTGTCCGTCCTTGTCTGCTTCTAACCCATACCGCATCTAACCCACCCAACCTGCCCTTGCAGTGTTGTCCTCGTCTTGCATTGTGCGTGCTTTGCATGTTGGTGTGACACAGAAGATTGAACCAGCTCCTGGCCTCGCATGGTATGTGATCCCAAGTCTTGCTAAGGGACACAGAAATGACAATCCCAAGATCCCCAACTCTCAAGCACAAATCCTGCTCGCAGTCCAAGATGGACTCACTGAGATCTTTCTCTGCCTCAGATACAGATCAACCAAATGTTGACTACCAAGACACTGTTTCATCTCAAGCAGCTAAGCCTGCAGGGATTGTTGCCAGTTCACTCAAATCTCTGCCTCTTGACATTGGGACAAGATTGTCTCCGACCATCCCCAGACCTCCAGGCATCACTAGTTCGACCTGCAATGGAGGGCCTGTGAATCACGTGTGTAATCTGGAATAGAAGACCAATCAACAAGGGGTACAGTGTGACATATGCTTTAACTGGTATCATGCCCTCTGCCAAGATATACCCAGAAGTGCATACAACGCTCTAAAGAAACATGAAGTGATTGCATTCATTTGCAGCACATGCAAAAAGCTACCAAACCTGGACAAATTCCAGCCAAGAGCCTCCACAAGGGATGTTGCCATCCAACTGTCCCCAATCTCACTCCACGGTGATTCAAATCACTCAGGGCAGAACAAACATTCAACCTCTGCTGATGTTGCAGCTCAAGTTAACACAGAGTCGTTGACCCCCCAAAGCCTGCCTGAGATAAGCAATGCTCTCTCCGCGCTCATCAAGAAGATTGACA